ACCTACTAACAGATTTTGGATGAAATCCGTTAGTGGGATCCACCAAGTACATGTGACACTCATTGATTAGTTAAATAAAAAAAAATAAAAAGAAAAAACCTCAACACTAATTCAGCCAGCCCACTGCTGCACCACCTATCGCCGACAACACAACTCTAGCCGAAAACCACCTTTTCCCCCACCTTGATCGGCGAAACCGAGCGTTTTCCACCCCGACACCGGAGAAATCGAGCGACCAGCCACCAGCCGTGAGCGCGTTCATCCCTTCTCCCTCCTCGAAAACCCCTTACCCGTTCACCCCTTCTCCCTCTTCGAAAACCAGCCACCAACCGTGAGCGCGCAGTCGGCGTAACCGGAGACGGAACAAGAGCAGGGCGCGTTATGGTTTTCGCGATTGAGAATTAGAGAGGCAAAATCGAGGATATTCACCGGCGAAGAGCGAGATCTATCATGAACTTTGTAATCTCCTCTTCGAAGCTCAGAATCACAGAAATGGGGGTCGATTTGACTGTTTCAGAGGTGGGGAAATGGGGGTGGTTTTACGCGCGGTGGTGGCCTGGGTAGGTGGGGCAGGTACGCGGTTGGGCTAGGGTGGTGTGTAGGCGCGGCAGCTGAGGTTGGGATGCTGGAAGTGGCAGTGGTGGTGGTGGGGTCAAGGCTGTTGGTGGTGGGCTGGTGGCTGGGTTAGATCTTAGGGCTAATTTTTATATTTTTAAAAACCAATGTTGTATTGACATGTGTCCATAATGGATCCCACTAATGGATTTCATCCAAAAATTCGTTAGTTGGTGGTGAAATCAATTTTTTTAGTCTTTTTTTGGTGTTATAATACAAAATTGAGATAATGTGGTGTTTTAAGCAAAATTTGTGGTGTTATTTTCTAAAATTCTTAAATTTAACAAATACATAAAATAAAATCAAACAAAGGTTTCTTTATCAAAACAATGATCGTTGAATGGATTTTGCATTGTGGTACATCACTCGCATACATTTTTGGAAAATACAACCTTTTCGAAAAGATGGTTTAATAATTTGTTGTAGCCGTAATAAAGTGATTTGCATCTGATTCATTTTAATGTACATGAAAAATTTGATGACCGTTGTGATCTCGCACAAATTTTTATCAACAAATACACCAATAATATGAAAAAGTTAATACTTTTTGGCAAAATTGGTCACAACACTTTGAACTATAGTTGAGGTGTACCCATCATCTTGTACTTTGCATAGTAGCCAAAACACCACAAACTAATTGTTTAGGGGCAGTGTAAAGTGTGTCGTTAATGAGCATTCCTACGATGAAGCCGGTGAAACTTCCATCCGATCAATTTCATTAAACCGAGTACTTATACTATTTGACCTAAACCTGAAATTTATCAGATTCAGGGCACCGACTCAACTGAACCCGACCCAACCGTCCCGTGTGAAAAAGCTATTATCCGATAAGCATGGTCAAAACGTCCAAAGAGAAAGATTTGGCCGGCCAATCACGGTCACCCCCCTGATAGAGTTGTCATTCATTAGTTAATAGTAGCACAACATTATTATGGCTTGGATGGCCTTGGCCTTGGCATTGGCGTTAGGCATACCCTACCAAATTAAATCCGATTAAAACTTGCAAAATTCTAGTCAAATAATGTGGGTATTCACTCTTGGCATTAAAAGGTTTGCCACTCGCAGCTAACTCATGACTCACAACTTATGAGTCATGACTAGCCATAACTCGATGGCATAGAAAGACTCACACATTGATATGTAATTTTCAATAAACAACTCTACTAATTGGCTATTGAGGTTTGTTTTGGGTCGTTTTATAATTAGAAAATTAAATTATTGAAGATCCGGGAAATTAAATTTCTTATGAAAAAACGTGCGTGACATAATTCACATAATTGTTTTTTTTAAAAAAAATATTGTAAATGAAAGTTTGTCCTTTCGTGCAAGATATATTATCCTAGATAATTTAAATAATGAGTACTCTAATAATTCCAAAATCCTTTCCATAACTCCTTATAAGGCCAAATATATTAATGGGAATTTATTATCTTGGGTATTATATAGATTATATTAGTAGATTTGAAATAATATATTCTCAATCTATTCCAATATTTAAGTAATATTTAAAATATATGTTTGATATTGTGGAATCAAAATACATTAGAGTCACTTTGAGGTGGGAATTTCCTTACTCTTCCCCTAATCCCAAAGTGCCTACCGCGTCAACTTGGATTAGGAGAACCTATACCTGCTTGATTATCTAGCTTTTGAGAAGTTAATGTAAGTTATTTTTAGGAGAATTGATATAAACAATAGTAACACAATTCACAAATTCCTTTCATGCATAACACAATATTGCATATGACATAGCTTAAATTTATGATTTAATATTGCAATTTATAATTATCAAGCGTAATATGATTTCTGTATGATTTAGTATCACTACTAAGGGCGTACTCTGAACAAGACATGCATAAACAAGAGGTGAGCTAAATTTTACGATTTATGTATATCATACGATTCGATTTACGATTCTACTCGATTTTACATACTTTTCTGAACTAGTGAAATCCTTACAAGTAACAAACATGTTTATATAGGTTTTTATAAATATATATTGTTAAGTCTTGATTGCTTAATGGGTAAATAACTATTATATATCAATAATTAGGTTTCAAACTCATAATTTCAATATATTTAATTAAATTTATATTTGACGTCTTGTTTATGCATGTTGGATTCTACGATTCGATTTTACGATGCGATTCTGATAGCCCCTTCCGATTCAAAGTAGCTAGAATCCCGATTTTAATAACTTTGGCTAGCTAGTGTGTTTCTTTAAAATGGCAAAATGAAATAAATCATTTTAAAAAAATAAAATAATTAATTTTTCTTATGTATATATAAATATAATAAAAATACAGAGTATTACAGCCTTCTCGGTGACAACGTTAAGGGCAGTCTCATGTCGAATCCTTTCAAGAGCCAGGTTGCCAGTGTTCTCATCTTGGATTCGCCGGTGTCATACCAGGCCGACTGGATCTCGCGCCTTTGTTGGGTGTACCAGTTTTGGAAGGCAAAGAGCCTAAGGAAGAGTTGCGGACGTATTGAAATTAGTTTGTAAGGAAAAAGCAGGAAAATAGGCTAAGTGTTGAAGTTAAAATACTTAGTTACCTCAGCACAACTGTTAATCATTGGGTCGAGGTGTCCCCCATGGATACCTCTCAGCATAGCGTCCCGGACGACCTTTCGTTCGGCCCTAGTCAATGTAGAGCCAAGAGCTCGAACGTCCATTTCCTTGTAAATATCTGCAAAATAAATTAAAAGTAAAAAAAAAAAAAAAAAGAAAAAAAGAAATAAAGGTTAACTCTCAGACATCACAAGAAAAGGCTGTATGATTACCTTCCAATAAAGTAGGGAGTGCTTGCGAACGCCCTTCCTGAGTAGGAGTAGGCGTAAGTTGTTGTTCATTCGCTTTGGGCGGAGACAGTTGCCCTTCATCAGTTTGGGAACCCATTGGCCAAGTCCTCAAGTACTCGACATGCGGAGTTGAGTCATTGCCGGCCGTTTGGTGCTGGGACAACTTTCCTTCTTCGTCCTTTTGGACGGTCTCATTTCGGGCTACTTCAGTCGATTGTGGCTCCAAAGGTATGGAGGCCCCACACTAGGCGTACTGTAGTTGCAATGAGGGATCGACGGCTTGTAGTTAACATCCGTTTCCCTGGCCTATTCATTTTCTTCTTCCTTCCACCCACTTTGTCTTGTTCATCTTCTTCCTCCCACCCAACCAACTTCATCTTGTTCTTCCTTCGGCACCCAACCATTTTCGGACCAAAATCAACTCAATAAGGAACAAAATGACCTCCGAAATCTTTAAGGGACATTTTTTGGCATGCAAATCGAAAAAAAATCACCAGCTTTGATTAATTAGAATGGTGGCCGGAAAACTTACTAACAATGCGCATTGCACCCAACTCATTAGTTTGTAGTGTTTTGGCCACTAAGCAAAGTATAAAGTGTTGGGTGCATCCAAGCCATATTTCAGAGTGTTGAGGCTAATTTTGCCTTCATTATATAATAGTAAAAAAAACTAAGTAAAAAAGAATATTTAAATAGCGCTACAAATATTGAAAAAAAGAAAAAGGGAGTATAAATATCGATCTTCTTACTCTCATAACTCCAAAGATGATCTTTTATGATATGTCATTATTAATTAATAAATTTGCGCAAAATACAAGTTACCAGTCTTAACCCCAGTGGCATGTAACAGTGACATAATCCAGGACAGTGCACCAAATCTTCATTTAATTTAGAACTTGTCACCTTAATCGTTTTCATCGTCTTATACCATATTAGATTAGATGGTTGTAACTTGATAAGATAACAACACTTTATTGTTTTATCCTCTAATGAATAATCATTAATTAGTACTAATTCGTATTAGTTAAGGAAAGATTATAAGTTAAGACAAAATTAAATATTAAAAAGTGGCATTATTTTTATTTGACTGTTACTGCAAAATATGTTGAGCTCTTTCCCAAATTAAAGTCAAGAAGAACCGCAATTCCCAAATTGCAGCCACATCTTTTTATTTTCCCATTCTACCGTCCACGTAAGCACTGGTTAAAAAACCGGTTTTTTTTTTTTTTTTCCGGTCCAGGGTAAACCGCTACTTGAAGTAGCGGTTTCTTTGCAATAAACCGCCACTTCAAGTAGCGGTTTCTTAGTTTAAAACCGCTACTTGAAGTAGCGGTTTGTTTACAAAAAACCGCTATTTTTTGTAGCGGTTTATTTTGGAAAACCGCTACTTCAAGTAGCGGTTTACTTTGAAAAACCGCTACTTGAAGTAGCGGTTTACCCTGGACTGGTTTTTTTTTCAAACTTGCATAATCACTCAAAAAAAAAACCTGCAAGTTGTGTACCTGTAAAACATGAGATATATAGCATATTTTCAACACAACCACCATAAATAACAAGTTTATGAAGATCTAAGGAAGTCGAAATTGCAAAGTCGAATATTTTTCAATTGATTAAATATAACAAAATCCAATTCTAAGCATTTACAAAAAAATTAGTTTAGTTCCAAAATATACACTTAGCTCGGGCGTTGCTTCTTCCCATGAGGTGACGATGAAGATGATGCAGCTGTCTCCTCTGGAATGTCATCCAGGCCAACTCCAACCCCAGATGTAGTGTTGCTACGCCGTCGGTTTCTCTGATACTGGCGATGCACTAGTGGAGGAGATGTCATGATAGTATGCTGAGAAGGAGTCGGTGGACGGAAGGCACGTGCTGAATGGCCTCCACGATGAGGTGGTGGTCTGATCGGCATAGTGTGCACAGTAGAAGATGAAGACGTGGACGGTCGAGGCTGCTGAATAAGGTGTGACTGCCCCACCCTAGACAAGGTTTGGCCACAAAATGATGTAAAACCCTGCATCGTCTATATGGAAAATGGTATAGCCGTCTCTGGTGGCAAGTGGGAGATGGTCTCAGTAGCTCCCGATAGCTGGACGTGCAAATCAGCAAATGCATGTGCCTACATTTAAGTGTAGTTTTAATGTTAGTAAAATGAAATCAAAAAACGTAAGAACTAGATTGAAATGAAGTGAAGTTCATACAAGCAGGAGGTCAGAGGTAGCTGGCTGGTAATGACTCGGGAGGCGCTCCTGCGAAGGTGGAGTAATGACCAGTCTCGTGATGCGACGGTACCAAGCCATGTACTCTGTCATGGCCGGGGAAGAAGTCCCAGTGAACGGGTATCCCTGGACGACTAATGCCTCTCGTCGACTCCACTCGTGTACATGGTCCGAATGCCGAATCTCCCAATTACGCTGTCCCCTTCGATCCTTCCTGTGTAGAGCAACTGAGTAATGTGATCGAAACCATTAATAATTCTACAAGGGTTATATGTAAGGTAAGTAAATCAACAACAACAACCAAAACCAACCACAAACATACATACAATTCTGAAACTCAATAACAACAACAATAAACAAGAACACTAACAACAACAACACAACCAAAACCGAAACTCAATAACAACAACAATAAACAAGAACACTAACAACAACAACACAACCAAAACCAACAACAACAACACATACATACAATTCTGAAACTCAATAACAACAACAAACTCAATAACAACAACAAACCCAATAACTGAATACAAAAAATAATTAGGGCACTTACCACAAACAAGAAGATCAGCACGTTTCTTCTGAAATTAGCGAAGCCGACCACTAAAGTCGAACCCTCGGCGTCAACAGCGGCGGCCTTCGTTGCTGAGGAATGCTCCGGCGGCGTCGGTGGATTCCTTGGCTGCGCCGGCTTCCGTTGAAGGAGGTGTGATTTTGGTGGAAGGCGTGGATGGGATTTTGGTGAGAAGACGAAAATGAAAGAGGAAAGTGAAATCAGGAAATTATACCTGCTAGAAAACCGCTACTTGAAGTAGCGGTTTATTAAACAAAAACCGCTACTTGAAGTAGCGGTTTATTAAAAAGAAACCGCTACCTGAAGTAGCGGTTTATTAGTAAAAACCGCTACTTCAGGTAGCGGTTTTGCTGTAGACCGGATTTAAAATTTCTTCCCCCTGAACCGGTGACGTGGACGGTACTTTGGGAATTCTTAAAACTTAGGCTGCAATTTGGGAATTGCGGTTCTTCTTGACTTTAATTTGGGAAAGAGCTCAAATATGTTAAAAATAAAGGTGCATCACAACTGTGCAGTCAATAAGCTGTGAGTGTGACTGTACGTGTGAGTTGACACCATGCTATATGATTAGCATATATGATTTGATTTTTTTATTTATTTTTTATTTTTTCCTTTTCTTCCAAGGAGTACATAATTAGAATTGTGTGACTTGTAAATAAATCTAGAATTTCCTAGAACTTATTCTATCCAATCATAATGTATTGTGTTATGGTCTTATGGACTGTTCTTGTTGTTTGGTTAAACTTCTAACTTAAAAAAAAATTAGGGAAAGACTTCATATAAAGATTTCTACGGATACTTAGGGTCTGTTCCGATTTATTGAAAACAACTGAACTAAAGAATTGAATAGAGCTAAAATGATATGTATATGAGAGAAGAAAATTAGGAACTGAATTGAACTAAATTGATTGGTGTTCAAATAAACTGAAATGAAATGAAATTAAGTTGAACAGAATAGGCTTTTATTTAGTAGAGAGTCTGAAGACTAGATAGATAAATTCCTACATATTTAGGATCGGGCATTCTACTTTTCCATTTGACATTATATATACTTCGAATTGGTATTATTCAACCAAACAAGTTACCTATCTTGCACTTTCTAATAATAATCTATATATGGCCGGAGTAATAGTTAAGATAATAAATTTTGCTATCATTTTAAATTCTCTAATAATCTATATTACTCCCTCTATGTTTTTTTAAGTGTTACAGTTTGACAGACACATAGTTTTAGGCAATTTAATTGACTTAAATAAAATACAAGGTAAGTGGGGTAGTTGGAGTATTAAAAAATTGTAAAAGAAAGATAGTGGGTTAATAGTTTATTGAAAAGTAATGAATGTGAGAGGAAAAAATATAAAAAAAGTAGTAGTAGATTTGGGTGGGGACCATGAGAGGAAAGAGATATAATATTTTAATGTAGCTTTTTTCCAAAAAAGAAAGTGTAACACTTAAAAAAAACACGTAGAGAGTACTATGAATATGATTTTAAATGAACATGAATCCCATCTAATATGATCATTATACTCGCATATAGATTAGAAGGCAAAATATAATAGTAGGTCCTTATCAAGTAAGGAAGTGTTGTAATTACTATAAAAACGGATGAAAAGTGCTTTAATTATAAAACAGTCCAAGGAAAAGTATTGTAATTATTAAGATACCGGGGAGTATCAAACGACACTAATCTAACAATTATAGACGATGAGCAACACATAAACATATTCCCAGGAATCTTTGAAGCTAAGCACCGACCCAGATTCTCTCTCACTAAACCCTCACCGCTTCCTCCACCGCCTTCCCCCTTCCCCGTTTTGCTCGCCGGCGACCGGCGTTTTCATCTCCTAGTCGTCGCCGGCGAGGCCTATAATCCTTTTTTTACTGTTCGGGTTTACCGCTGACAAGGGAGAACGAACAGATTCACCCACTTGGCTTTTACAACTGACCACTCCATTTCTAGGTGTTTCGTTCCCTTGTCCTCTGTTTACCGCTCAATTCATCTCCGTTTTGGTTATTTATTTCCTTTGTTAGTTTTTCTCTGTTGTTTTATGCTCTAGTTTCCTTCTAGTACTTTGTTTAGTTATGTTTTTTTTGTTCTTCTTTTTCCTTTTTAAAGTTGTGTTTCTTGAGTTTTGCCATGGTTTTTTTTGGCTGGGTTTCTTTTAGAGTTTTGATTTTAATGTTTTCGAGGTTCTGAAGGTTGTGTTTTAGTTTTGAGTTTAATTTTTTAGAGTTGTGAGTTTCCTTGGGTTTTTTTTTTTGTAGCTGTTGAGTTAGGTGAAGCTTCCTTTTCCTAGGTTGTTTATTTGTTCTTGTGTAGGTTTTTATTTCTACTCTTAGTTTGGCTTCAAGGTCTTATTATGGATTTATTTCCTGCCTTCATTACTTTTCATATTCCAGATGATTTTAATGATGATAGTATTATCCATCATCTTTCCTCTATGGACAATCCTAGTGATGTAGTTCGTTCCTCGGAGTTCAAGGAGCAAGAGAACTCCTTCTTCAAGGTTGGCAAGTTTAAACTTGCATTTTCTAAGTATGAGTGGGCTAGTAAATTGTTGTGTTTTACTATGCCGTGTTCTTTGGAAGCTTTTTCTTCCTTTCGATCTTTGGCTTTTGCTTTGCATCTCAATCTTGCGGCTTGTGCTTTGAAGCTTCTTGATTTTTCTGTTGTTGTGCGGTTTTGTTCTTTTGTGTTACAATTTGATTCCTGTCATATTAAGGCTCTTTATCGGAGGGCTTTTGCGTATCAAGAATTGGGCAAGCTTCGCTCTGCTAGAAAGGATTTGGTTAAGGCTGCTAAAAGTGATCCAAATAATATAGAAGTGTTATCAAAATTGCACTGTGTTGAGGGTTTGTTACAGGATAAATCTTTTGTCGATCATACACTGAAGGGTAAGATGGTTCGGTCTGTTACCCAAGATGAATTGACTTCCCAAGTCCCTGATGATTGTCAAACAAGTTGTCCGACCAAAGAGGATTGTTGTGCCGCAGAGGTGGATGCTCCACTTGCTGACTTTCAGGGTAGTGTTTTAAGTTCTGATGTTGTTTTGGAGCCAGTTTTATTTCCTAATTCAGTTGGTGGTGATAAAGAATGTCTTCTCCCACCATCGGTTTCAGTGGGTATTGATATGGAGTGTGATTTCCAATTGGATTCAATTAGTGAAGACAGGAATTGTAAGTTTTCTCCTACGGTTTCAGTAAGTGTCGATATGGAGTGTGATTTCCAATCGGACCCCGTTAGTACAAACAAGGGTTCAGACTTGGTTAGTAAAGGCGGGGATTGTAAGTTGTCAGAAACTTTTCATCTAGAATCCGAAGACTCTCGTATGCATAAGTTTGTTTCTCGACATGGCTCGAGTTCATCCCTTCGGCTTTCTTCCTCAAATTTGCAGCAGGTCATGCAAGGCAAGGTCATTTAGTTCTATCATTCTAAGTCTATGTCGTTAATGTCAGTTCGGGTGCGTCCGAGTAAAACTTCTATCCAGACAGAGGTCCCCCAAGATGTAACTTCTAGGGAAGAAGAGACCTCTATTTCCTCTTCAGCTATGTTCCTTTGTGGATTGGAGCGACATGCGATGTCTACTTCAGAGTTCCATCGACTCCCATATCCCAGTCCATGTATTCTCCGGTTTTGCAGTCTTCTCCGGAGGAGGTGATTACCTCTTTTACAATGAAGGTCTCCCACGATGTGAAGCCAAGTGTTGAAGGGTCCTCTTCCTTTACTTCACGAATTGTATCCTGTGATGAGGAGCAGCAGATAGTGCCCATACCAGAGTCCCTGCCAGTTCCTTTTTTGCAGCAGTCCTTAGGTGCTCCAGTGCCGAACAACAGTTCAGAGTGCATGACTGCCGCCCTTCCTATTGTTGATAGTTATATGGGAGGGATGAGTTCGCAGGATTTTGTGGGAAAAGTTTGTGAGTTTAGTTTTCAGTTATCCACTTTGCATTCCAGTGCCAAGTTTTCGGGTCAACCACTTCGCCATCACAAGTCTATTTTTCATCATCGGTTTAGGAAAAAAAGGTTCGGTAGTGGAGCGACCAAGTTCGGTTGCAGGTTTCCAAGTGGTTCGTGTGGGTGCAAAGCGTGATCGCGGGCTTAGTGTGGACTTCAAGTACTCCAACTTGGCTCGAATACTCGCAAGTGTCTCTTTAGTGTTTCGGCGTAATGTAGTTTGTCGTCTCTGTTTGTTTTGTTTTCTTTATTAGTACTCTTTGTCAAAAAAAAATAAATAAAAAATAAACATATTCCCAGGCCTTTTTTTTTTTTTTTTTTTTTTTTTTATAATTGCATGGAGAAAAATTTATTGCATGCTCATAGTAGTAAAAAGTAATAATCGCTGCTACTTTATAACATCGTGAAAATAGTAAATTGATCACGAATTAAATGGTTGTTGATGAATAATTCAACGTTATAAAATTATCTGAATAATCTGGCTTTCAGAAGACTCTCTAAAGAAGTTTCAAATAACTCTAAAACGCCTGCTACAAGCTAAGGTAGCTCTACTCGTACTCTTGTTTTTTATAGTTATTGTGTTTTATATTGTATTGTTGGTAGTAACTTGATAATTTACTTCCAACATCAGAAGTGCTCATTTTTATTTTTTTAAGTTGGACTGTTGGTTATGATCTAAGACCATGACTATATGTCTATATTATTATAAACTTGATAATAATATATACGTAGTATAAAGTATATGAACTGTGAACAGTAGGGTTGTTCGAGGTTTGGATGAGACGAAACATGTAAATTTGGTGTTTGTATTGGTTGTTTGTGTCGTTGTTTCTATTAATTGATAAATTTTGCGAAATTTCATAAGATCATTTACTTCGTATTTATTATTAGTTGTACATCATAAATACTCCATGTAAAACTAACTATTGTACACAAATATACTTGTACAAGCTTGTGAGTAATGTTGCTTTAATAATCAATCTAAGCAAATGAAGTAGTTTTATTAATCATAGTAAAGTATAAGTTCATACAAAGTATAATTTAATTTATCTGCAATATCACATATTAAAATTAGTTATAAAAATTTAAATGACTTCTTAGTGAAAATTGCTTTTAATTTAAAAGTTTAAATGACTTCTTAGAGAAAATTACTTAGAGCAAGATTAGTGCAATCTTGTTTTAAGACTATAATTCATTGCCACATTAATTATTAGGGGCATCTAGTGATAAGAGGTTGGCCTTATGACTTAAAATTAAATCCAATTAGAAGTGATCAAAATAGATTCGAGAGGTGTTGATTGAGCAGAATTCTTCTCCTTACAGTTAAAAAAAATTACCATTTATCTTTGCTTGGAAACTTTTTGTTCTCACCACTTTAAATCAAAATTAAATTGAAAATCATTGCTGCCTACAATAAAAATATATAGGGTGAATATGTAGTACTACCTTCGTAAAATATTAATTATAACTTTAGAATATTTTATATCGAGTACAAATAATGCCCCAAAGTTGCAACTAATATTTTATGGAGGTAGTAATATAATAAGTTGCATGTAAAAAATATTATAATTTTTCGCATACCAACTCGATTGTCGGAGGGGCTTTTCAGGAACACCCCCAGCCAGGCAACTTAACCACGTTAGCTAGTCTTGCAAGATCTGGATCCTCTAGGCAAGCATATTCCCCCATCTTTGTTCACCACCCAATTTCTACAGGAGAAGCAATATGTAATTGACAAGATTATGATGTATTTGAGTTATTTGTATTTGTTTATTTTCGTAACTTATCTTAACTAAAATTTACTATAATTCACTCATTTTTTGAAAAATTGTTTGATGTGGTTAACTTTGACATTTTATAATTATGTTAACTTTGACATTTTATAATTAGTAGATTTACAATAAAGCCGATGTAGTAAAAATTTACATGACCGAAAGACAATATGGTACAATTAAAAACAGAGGGAGTGTAAACTTAGTTGTCTAAACTAATTAAACTCACCTACACTATTCTTTCAAAAAAAAAAAAAAAAAAAATCACCTATACTAAAATGTAATGTAGATTTGGGATGTGTTGTACTCACCTAATTTTTACTTATTTGAACTTAACTAAACTTATTAAATAAAACTTATCTTAATTGTAATTTAAATTTGAATATCCTTATCAATCGTTATTAAAACTTATTGGGTTTTTCTAAGATATGCCCCTAAGGTAGTCGAGTTTCTAAAGTGTACCCATGCTTTTTCAAATTTCTAAGTTGTGCCCCTCAACTCACTACCATTAATAAATGGTGTCCTCTTGGGACTTTCACGTCACCTAAAGTTAACTATAAATTTAATAAAAAGATGATAAAAGGTAAGGAAATGATACGTGAAAGAAATCTTAACCACAACAACCCTGATAAAGAAAACTAAAGCCACGAAATCACGCTCTCAATTAAATTTTAAATAACTAATAAGGGTACATTTTAGTATTGATAAGAAGTTGAAGGGCACGACTTAAATACTTGAAAAAGCATGAGTACACCTTAAAAACTCAACTACCTTAGGGGTATAACTAAGAAAAACTCAAATTCATTTTTTCTAAACTTAATTTAAACTTATTATACTTGAAATAAGTGGACAAAAAAATGGTTGCATTAAATTTACTCTATTTTCATTTATTTTTTTCAAATAAAATCAATTTAGTTCAAATAATTAAGTTTGATAAGTGAAAATCACACTCCATTGGATTTGAGCCTATAACACTAGCTAAGTTTTGTTAAAGACATTTATAGAGCAATGTCACAAAGCAGCCGCGATCGCATGTGCAAAACATGAAACCCCAAGGCTCACTTGCCTCAAGCCAACCTTTTGCATATGTACAACAAGTATTATACACAACTATAAACGAGTAATATAATGTCATGCACCAATTGGCACGGGTATAGGAAGTTGCCTCATATAGGGACTTGTTGTAAAGAAACTGTTTGTATTTGACAGTGCGTTTTAAAATGTTAAGTCAATCAACAATATAAATCGGGAAAAGAAACTATAAATGTGTTCAATTTTCGAACCAAGAATGAAATGCTTCAACTAACTCAAAAGCTTCAAATTCTTATCTCCTAACAACACATTTTATTTTGATAAAATCCTCATCCAACCCTTCAATTAATCACTACACCTCATCAAACATGGATAGTTCTAGACATTAAACATCCATCAAAAAAAAAAAAAAAAAGAACAAACAACCTTGATGATAAAGCTCCCATCTCATCTCCTTAAGTAGCCCCCACCTTCCCTCAAACAACCTTAACTATTCACAACAGCTTCAGAAAGAGAGGGTTAGACAAGACCAGTCAAATTACACATAATTTTTTTTTTCTTTTTAATTTACAAAAAAAAATAAAATAAAATAATAATTAATTAATTAAAAATAAAATAAAATTCCAAGCAATAAAACCAACAATAACGATGCTATTGTTTTTTTCCTCTGTTTCAGACTTTATATATACCTCTCTACCATTCCTTTACTCAGAACCTCAGACTCAGAAACACACTCACTTTTCTCTCTCCTCCATTTTTTTTTTCAGAGAATCCAATTCAAATCCTGTGCTATAATTTTCACAAAGACTTCAATCTCCATTATAATTAATACCCATCAAAAAGCTTTTACTTTACTTAGCTTCCATGGCAGCTTTTCAGCAATACCCTGCTTCGTTTTTAGTTGACTCTGTTTTCATGCCCGCCATTAAAACTCCTGAAATTGGAGCTTTCGATGAATTTATTGCTAAATCCAATCAATTTTACGCATCATCTGAAAAATCCCAGGACCCTTTTACCATTTATAGTCAAGAGGGTTCTTCCATTGATAATGAACCTTCTTCTGTGAGTGAAAAACAGAGGACTGAGAGTTTATCAATGGCGGATAAAGGTGATAGTAGTGATCAAATGACTCAAAGTTCGGTTCCTGTTGATAAAAAGAGGAAGTCTCGAAAAGGGTCTTCCTCAAATTCTGCTAATTCTAAGGTATTCCATTTGAATGGAGCTTTTATATAATGCACGTTAGGTGTTTGATAATATGCCTAAATGAATTTGGTGATTTTGTATAGGATGTTAAACAAGCAAAGTGTAAGAAACAGAAGGAAGATAAAGAAGCAATGAAAGATAAAAGTGATGAACCACCAAAGGGTTACATTCATGTTAGAGCAAGGAGGGGTCAAGCCACTGATAGCCACAGCCTTGCTGAAAGGGTATAATAGTCATTTCCTATACGTATTATCGTTTATTATTTTATCATTTATGATCGGACCATTCGGACCCATTACGTTTAGTTTTCTATTTTTTGGTTTTTTCTTATTTAAAAATCTTATTATAAACATTTGCTGTATAATTAGTTTGAAATGATTTATTTGAAAACTTACAACGATACCAAACATGTTCTTAACAGTAGAAAAACTTAATGTATTAATATTCGGGATTTTGACAGGTGAGGAGAGAAAAAATCAGTGAGAGAATGAAGATGTTGCAAGCAATTGTTCCAGGTTGTGACAAGGTGGGTTTAACAGGAATTATTTATGGTATACTCTGTTTTATTTTGTTATGATTTATTTGTGTGTAAGTTGTTTAATTGACAAGTTCATATGTCTTGGTTGAAAATAGGTCACCGGAAAGGCCCTCATGTTGGATGAGATTATCAATTATGTCCAATCCTTACAAAGTCAAGTCGAGGTATATTTAAATTTAATTTCATTTATCGACACATGCATCCACTATTAAACTATGAGTTTTAAATTTATACAAGTTATCGTTGAGTACTAATTATGTTAGAATGATAACCTTTTAGGATACGACCATTCTATTATGTCAATTATAACTTTCACCAACTTGGTAAATTTTGTCGTTATATTGCCCTATTACACTTGTTATCTTCAACATACGACCACTAGAGAATTTTCCTACATACATTAATTGTCACTATCTTAACATATTCAAATACTTTTGGGTTGAACTCACAATATCATTAGTATTTTTATGGATTATGTTTCTATTTAAGGCAAGATTTTTAGAAATTACAATCTTTAATCTGTTAATAATTTAATGAAACTATAGATGATGGTATAGTATATTGTACTTTTAGACCATGTAATAATTTATGCAAAAGGTTTAAAGTACCCTATTATGATAATTCCAATAGAATATTACCTGCATATTATTGCATCACTATTACGTATTTCTTTAAGTTAACTGAAGATTTTCTTTGGGAAATGTACCCTTAATTATATCTTCATTTTTTTTTTAAAAAAACAGTTTTTGTCAATGAAGCTTGCTTCTTTGGACCCCATGGTATATAATTTTGGATTAATGGATCATGATCCTATGATGTTTGGAACACAGGTACAATTTATTATTATTATCTTAGAATTATTGTAATGTTTTTTAAACCTTGGATTATTTATTTTTCCAAATTATTATATTCTTATTATTTGAATTGTCATGAAAATTTAGGCCATGACCAATGGCATGACATTGCCAATGCAACCACTAATGCAACCCACCAGCAACGGTGGTAGTAGCATCGATCAACCACAAGCTTTCGCCACCACCAACGCCGTGAGCTGCTCCACCACGAGCTCGGCCTCAACTCCCACCTTTACTAGCCCTGTTGTTGATAGCTCAACCAGTTTAATACAACAACAGGAGCAGAAGCCAACTTTGCTTCCTTTACAGGTATTGTAAAAACAGATCATATTTTACCTACTTTGACAAAGATAGGTAGATTAGAACAAACATTTCACTATTGGATGGACCAAAAAAATCAATTACTAATATTAGTAGTAGGGACCAAATCAAAATGTACTTAATCTAGTGTTGAAAATTTTCAACACATTTTAAATTAGTCTCCCAACCGTCTCTAGTGTATGTACTCTTTAAAGATTAATAAATAATCGGGAAAACATTGATTATTGTAACAAGAAAACGCGGTGGGAAACTAGAAACTAATGAAAAGTAAATCGGATCGTGTTCTATCAAAAAATAAAATAAAATTGTGTAAGAAGGATCATACTCAAATGTGTTTTGGTAGTTTGGCCAAAATGTTGTTTGGAAGGACCACCATGTTTAAAATAGTTTTTGGTAGTAAGCCAAAATAATTTTGGAATTGTTTGATTTAATTATGAATTAATTAAATATGTCATTTTCAGGATGCCGGGAGTTTATACTGGGGATTAAATGAGCAGCAACGACAAAGCATCATTAATCAACTTGGATTCACCAACAACTTGTATTCATTTCAGTAGAATATCATCATTTTTACTAGAAATCTCTTTTATTAGAAAACTGTAAGTATATATCATAAAATTATATACATGCTTACATACATTCATGCTTTACCATGCTAGAGTTTCCATTTTTACCAATCCTTTATCTGGAAGGCGGAATTATTAAATCACAAACTGCATCCCGTGTTAGAATTTATCAGTGACAGTTCAGGAAATTTATATAATGATTTTGGAACATATATAGTTAAGGGTGAAATGAAGATCAAGAATAGTTCCAAGGAGTTGTAATATCTGATGTAATTAATATCTGATGTACCTATAAATTTATTTACCTCATATAAATTATATAAAAAAAATTACCAAGTTATGTTCCCATGCTAGGATTCATGATTGAGCATTCATAACTTATAAGGGGTAGGTTAAGGGGTGAGGGCATGTCTTCCTTGTTTGAAGTTAGGGCTAACATTAGGCAATCAAGGCATGTTATGGGGCCTAGCTTGCTCCTAATACCCCCTAGCCCCCAACCAAAGATAGAAAATAAAAAAAAAAATCCCCATTTGCTAGGTTCTTTTGTCATGTTATTGTTATCAAGTTGCAAAATATATTATTTTTGGATTTAAACAATATTAAAAATGACAAATTAGTTATTAAACATCAATATTGTTGCCAAAATGCCATGTTTTGGAAACACATTGGACTTCAATCACGATGGACATGCATGTATGGTCTCATTCATTGAGACTTTAAGGCACAAGAAAATAAATATACATTTAAAATCGTAGATGAACCAATCCCGTCAATCTTACATACTCTAGCTTCAAACATCTAACCACAACTCTTCAAAATTTAACCTTAAAAAGTTACATCATAATGTATAATGAAAAAATTGATCGATCACTTTAGTTAAAATTAAGTACGATGCATTTCAAATAAAGCCTTTTGATTTCCGTCTACTTTATACTGATCACATCCTCTTTTTATTGTTTGTATGTGATTCCAGAATGCAAAGATTATATGAAGAAAGAGGTGCCAACAAAGCAAGGGAATTGAAGAGACATTATGTTCAAAGAAACACAAATGATGAAAAGAAAGGAGAATTCTCTCAACTTTGTGTCAGCTCCAACAATTGATATAGAAGAAGAAATTCCTTTACTCCAAACTGGCTATGATTCTTGATTTTCAATTAAAAATATTATATTGCTTATTTTTGAAGAAGCCAAAATCAATGGAAGCTAGAAAAAAAAAATAGAGAAAAAAAGAAAGAACATAAAATAAAGGACAAAATCATATCCAACCAAATAAGGACCCCCATATCTTTTGAAGATCCTTGTTTATGTTCCCATTTGACTATCAATTCTGTCATCAAAATAGTTTTAGAAACTTGTTACAGTTTGGACCTAACTAGGATTGGACAAAAATATAAATTTCTATTTTGTCTATGAATTAATTTTTTTTTTTTGAAATATGTCTATGAATTAATTCAATGTACCTAGCTATTTGTTTTATATTATGGAGTACTTATCCATATTAAAATGGCTTTGCTTTTACTTCTTTTAATCTTCATTCATTTTGTCTTTTCTTATGCTGTAATTTTGTGTAATATAAAAGTTCCATCCTTTTGAAATTACATTCTTTAAATGTAAAACTTACTAGTATATTATTGGTATGTAGTGCAATATTTAATTTGAGGTAACTTTAAAGAATTAAAGTTAAGGTCTTTTTCCAATTAATATTCGTTAGTTTTTATGAATTATAAATATTTTCAATAATTAATAAATATGTATAATATTTTAGTGGTTATAGGCCCTGTTCACATCACCTTATTAAAATAATATTAAGTAAAAACAATTTTAATTCAGCAAAAATAATTTCAATTCAGCAAAAATAATTTCAATTCAGTAAAAATCAGTAACATTAAAAAATAAATATAACAGAGAATCTATAAAAAATAATTTTAGTTCAAAAAAATTAAGATGAAGTGAACGGGGTCGTAGTATAGGGTTAGGGCATGTTCACATTTACTGAACTGAGCTGATTGTAGCCGAACTGAACTGAACTGAGCTGAGCTGAAATGAATATTTTATGAGAGAGGAAAAATCAAGAGCTGAACTGAACTGAACTGATTGGAGCTGAACTAAACTGAACTGAACTGATTGGAGTTGAACTGAAATTAAGTAAATGTGAACAGGCCATTTTGAAAATTTTCAACAATTTCGATTGTTTTGCTTTGTCCAAATCAATTTGTACAGCCAAGGCAAGAGCATAAAAGAAGTGTTATCTTATATTTTCTCTGTTCTTTTTTACTTGACCTGTTTCTTTTATCACGTTTGCCAATGCAAAACTTTAACGATCAATAACTTTAATTCTCTATAAGTAAAAATTGTAAAATTTACATATTATGATAGTACTTATTGAGACGAATTCAAAAAGATCTTACATGAATATATTTTTCCTTGCATACTATTCACAAAAGACGGTCAAAAAAGGAATGATGAATAGTGTAAAAGTCAAAGCGGGTCAAGTAAAAAAGAACGGAGGAAGTACGTAGTATTAGAATATAATTGTATAGATTTATTGTATCAAAAACTAATTGACCTGTACTGTAATAATGGTTTGTGTCATTTGAAATGGACTGTGTCATATATAGATGATACGACTACTCACTCATATATATCAAAGTGTAAAAAATATCCAACTAAATAATCACGATTTTTTTGTGTCTAATAATATGTATTCAAACATGCAAGTATGCCAACTATTGGTGTTTATATCTACTAGATGATCGATGTGTCCACCAAACGAATTTTTTATAAAATAAGATAAAGGTCCATACTGAACCAGCACCTCTCACACATGTTGAACCAGCTCAGCTTCACAATTTTAAGTTTTAACTTGAGAATAAAGGGGAGCTCAGCATGCATGACAACTTTGAATAAATTTAGCAAACCGAAAAATGCGGGGAGGCTTAGATCTTTGGCAGATTTTACCTTGAAATAACACATTAACACTTTTAAATTGTAAAATTATGGAGGAAAATCATCTCTAATTAATTCCGATCCGTTTTTGAATGCAAACCGAAATTAAAAAAAACACTCACATAATTAAGTAGAGGAATATTCTAGAATACTAATAAAAAAAAAGGTATTTAATGGAAAGTTGGTAATGGTACGGTATATATATTTCAGGTAGAGGTGATCAATGGGCGGGCCAGGACGGGCCAAGCTTCGGGATGAAAGACGTGTATGTGCCCAAACCCGCCCAAACTAGTTGGGCCATATAGGCTTTTTGGGCCAATTTCGGGTAGGGCCAAAAAATCAACTAAAATTGAAAAAAAATCCATTTCCCACACCCGTCCAAACTTTTTTTTAAATCGGGCCAGGTCGGGCCCGACCCAATTTCGGGCCGGAAAATTCTGCCCAAAACCCGCGCAAAATCGGGTCGAGCCTGCGTGCCGGGCTTAGTTCCTTTACTTTAATTGAGCATCTAACCAAGTCTTTTTGAGCTCCTTTACTTAGGGCTTGTTCACTTGAGCTTAATTTCAGTTCAGTTCAGTTCCAACCAGTTTATTTCAGTTTAGCTTCTAATTTCCTTCTCTCATAAAATATTCATTTCAACTTTATTCAGTTCAGTTCATTTCAGTCCAGTTCAGCTCCAATCATCAGTTCAGCTCAATTCAGTAAAGATGAACAGGCCCTTAAACTTTAGTTGAGCAAATCAATTTAGAATTAAGAGTGTAAATTTTTATCCTACCTAATTCCCATTGGAACATGCATAAACTTAGCAGAGCTTACTTTTGAAAAAAATTATCGCTCAAATTGTACGTATTCATGTAATGTAATGGATGACATTCTTGTTTATGGATTAATTAATTTTGAGAAGTTTTACAATTAAATCGGCCACATAGTTAAATTATCTCATTATTTAAAATCAATTTATTAGCCTCATAGTTGAATTTGAAAAGTGGATATATCATTCCGATCCTAAGTTGCAAATCTTTTTGTGGCAAATTTTACCATAATCTAAAAATGCCTTTTTTTTGGTGAAAATTAAAGTACGCCCTTATAGGCTTGAAACTTAAAGTCAAATAATTACAGAACATAGTATGAGGCATTAGGTAACTAGTTAGAGTTAGTGCCCAGTAGTGGACCAAAATGGGATCTATCTATTGTTCACCCCTACACAGGCAGATGGATCTTGTGGAGCATATATATATTACATGAAACAGATTCATATACAAAAAATCGTTGTTGAATACATCAGATAGAGTTAGAGTCTGCCTTGCTTCTTTGGCTAGAAAATCTGCTACCTTCACCTTCTTCCTCGGCACATTATTAGCAACATGGATGGATTTGCTTAAGCTAGGTCCCTGCAAAGACTATATAGGAAGTATGCTTCATCAATTGGAGTTTGATTGGATTATTTTGACAGTCAGAATAGATGTAAATAGAAATTCATTCCATATTAGAACACAAAGTCATAGCAGTTAAAATTGTAAACAATTCAGCCTAAAGAGCATTGACAGCTGGTATATGGGCCCCACCCCTTGTATCCATTCCCCCATTGGCATTCCTACATAAACAAGCTAGCTATGCCAACAGAGGAGCTAGCTTGACAGAAAGCATCATCCACAAAAAGAGACAGTTGGAGGGATGGAATAGGTTTACTAATGATAGGCTTTGTTGAGCTAGTACCATTGTCATAGAGAAAGGTAATCTCATGGATGGTGGATTTAATCCCTTTAATCCATTGATCAGTAGGCAAGGATTTCTGATTGAACACCCAGCAGTTCCTCCTAGCCCATATTTTCCAAAGTAGGACTGCAAAGGCCAGATTCCATGGAGCATTAAAGGATGGATTAATTGAGGTAATCTACAGGTTTTCAGCAATCTGTCTTATGAAGCATGAGGGGTTTTGAGGCAAGGGGGATTTTTGTATTTCCTTCCACACCTCACTGGCTCTGGGACAGTAATAGAAGACATGGAGAGCATCCTCCAGTGTCATGGGATAGAAAGAGCAAAAGGGTGAGGGTATGATGTATTTTAAGTGTAGACAATTAGAAATGGGGAATCTTTCCCAAAAATCCTGCCATAGAAAGAATTTGATAGGAGGGGTAGCTTGGAGATCCCAAATGTGTTGCCACACATTGGAGATAGGTAGAGACTGGTGCAGGTTTTCCCACTGATAGGAATAGGCCTTTTCCAGATTAAAAAAAAGGAACCTTCTTCAAGGGAGCAGAAGGAGAGATCCTCCTTTTCAAAGAATATGGGTATCCCTTTGATTCTTTGGAAAACTTGAGGGGGGAGGCTAACAGGGAGGGCATCAATGTCCCAAGAGCCATATACGATGCCACTGATACTTTCTCCTCTTCCAAATGAGGTAGGGGGCCTGAGATGACATTCCCGAGAGGGCCTAGTCCATTCCAGTTGTCAAGCCATAATAGGCAAGTATTTCCATTACTAATCAGCCATTAGGTTATAAAGTGCTGGAAGATTGGCCAGCCCTCCAGTCCTTTCTTATGGCTTTCCAGATATGTGACTTATTTTTTCAAGAGGTGGGACAGTATTTATCATTGATAATGTTGGAAGAGATGTTGGAGGAGTTATGCACCTTCCAATAGAGCTTGGCAAGAAGAGAGAGGTTATGAATATGGGATTCCCTGAAGGCTAGCCCTCCCTTTTCAGGTGGACCACAAAGTTTAAACCATGCTATAAGTGCTAATTTTCTGTCATCATCAATGCTTCCCCAGAAAAACCTACTACAAGTTTGGTCTATTTGGTGGCACAATTTTTTTGGGAGGGCAAGAATTTGCATTGATTACTGAGGGATGGAAGTAAGAACTGACTTGATGAGAGTGGCTCTTCCAACCTTGGAGATACATCTAGCTTTCCATGATGAAAGTTTGGATTTCATATTCCTAATTATATAACTGACTTGAGAAGGGAAAGGTATTTTGTCCGTTAGAGGGAACCCAAGATATGTACCCAAGATATTCCTAAAAATGCGTTTGTGATACTTTGATCTCATAAAGAAATATAATACCCCTTAATACATGCATTCCTTATAACCAA